CCGGCATTTCGTGCTGCAGAATCGGCTTCTTCATTGCCTAGGATACCCACGTGTCCAGGACACCAGATTGAACGTAACTGATGCTCCTCGCTGCTCTAATTTATGGCATGCTATGAGAATCATTTGTAGCAGAGGATCTACAGTTTGGCGCCTGTCTATTGCAGTGAGAAGACTTAAGAGAGTCTGTGCAGATGACAAACCTTCCTGAATCGAGAGTTTCACAGTGACGCAAAGACTGCAATAGTGCATATAATTCGGCAGTGTACACACTTGATATTATTATTATTATTATTATTATTATTATTATTATTATTATTATTATTATTATTATTAGCGTAGTACGTTTATTGTGTTGGATTTAGACATGGTCTTCCCCTTCTGACGACTCTTTACTGAGGTAGACCATAGCTGCCAAACGGCATCTTCAATTCGTTCTCCCACCTCTTCTTCTGCATGCCGGTTTCTCTTTCCAAGTCTTGGATATGACTGTTGTAGGAGTGCCTAATCCCTGTACGACTTCGGTGGCCGAGGTTGGTTAAATGATGTGCATTGCTTATCAGTGGTTCGGAGGAAAGGGCGGCTTCTTCGAGCATCCCTCAGGGATTTATCATAATTGCGTTGCCGAACAAAACTATTGAAAATTGCAGAATCTTAATTGAAAATGATTTGAAGCACTTCTTCTAACAAATACAATTAAGATGAATAAATTTGAAGTGTGTATGTGATTATAGAATTTGCAACTTTTAACCTCCTTGTCTTTTCACATTGCATCTGCATCTGCATTTCACATGCATCTGTATGAACAAATTTAAATAAACTATCGGCATGAAATTTAAATACATTATGAACACTAGCCATGTGACCAACTTAGATATTCCTAACGGTTCAGAAATTATTATTTTCTTGCCTTACGAATTCTTCGTAAAAAGTTATATAATCGTGCACCAGAAAACGCCGAAATTTCACCAGAATAAACGTCATTGCCGGGTTCTGGTATTGAAAAGTGGATAAATCCTGTTGCTGAATTTAGAAGGAAAAACAACTCGTTAACTCGAAGTGCTGCCAGAATACGTTTTTTGTTGGTTCTTGATACCGAAAAATCGATTGACGGCAAAATGTCCGTCTATGGTTAAAGCTAGCGGCTGTTTTTCTTCAAAACTGATATACCCTGATTGATCTTAACGGACTGTAGGCTTTGGGAGTTTCTAACGGATATTTTGATTGTTGACGTTACTTTTTAACATAAATCGGACACTGGCCGTTTTATACCTTTACCTTTTTATACGAGTCCGTGGCGTAGTGGTAAGAGTGCCGGCAGTTACTCTGGGTATCCGAGTTCGAGTCTCGGGGCGGAAAAGTAATTAGCTGCTTGACAGCACTTTTACTGGTTCTGTAGTAATGTAACGTTTCAAAACTTTTAGAAACCACACAAGAAGCTTTGGCAGCACCACTAGTTATTTAAAATATGATGGAATTTTTCACAATTGTTAGAGCATGTTTTCCTGTGAGTAAAACAAATTTTTGCACTATTCTCTCAAAAACTGGTAATTCAGAATAACCTTTGGATTGTAGCATTTGAAGTCTTAGCAATGTATTAAACTTTATTGTATTATGTTTAATGGTACATTAGCCTTTATTGGACATAAATATGTAATAGATTTTATCATTAACATTAAATGCAAATATTGTCATAAATGCTGAGGTTAATAATGTTTTCTTGTGACTGTGTTTTAAAGATCAGTTCACTGTAAAAAAAATCTATTTTTATTAATTGTTGAGTTGAAATTATTAAGGAAGACTGCATTTAAAGAAGGAAGTACAATTACCTTGCTGATTTATAAACCTAAATTGTTAAAGAAATAAAAATATTTTATTTAATTGAAATATTTGGCAAGTGATACATTTTTATGAATTGTAATAATGGATAATTAAAACCTTGTGTCGTTAGTGATAACATACTACTGTATCATGCATGTATGTCAGAAATAGTGTGTGTAAAGTTAGAAGTAGGATTTGGTTAATTCACACATTCGTCTGTTGGTGTAGCTAATGCTGAATGAATGATGATGAACAGTTTATTTTGGAGTTCATCTGGCTGATGTTGGTATTAGCCACAGGGGTTTTGATGAAAGCAACGTGATTCCCCATGTGTGAGGCGTCTTGTGTGTTTGCAAAAAGTATTTTGTTGTCAAAAGACGTTGGAAAGTGTACAGTGCACAGGCGAAAAGTTGTTTTGTGTAAATCCCAAAGGCCAGAGCCTTGTCGCCTACTTGGAAATGCAGAGTTAGTGTCAACAGAAGTATACTCTTTCTATGAACTCTGTCAAAACTGAAATGGGAGTGCTAAATTGTGAGCATGTCCTAGGATTGATCTGATATGTATAGTGCAGGCCTGTATCTTGGTGAATAGTATTGAGACTTTCTTGGACCATTTATTCACATGCTCACTCGCACTTGCACGCTCTCACTCTCACATGCACCCATGCGCACGCTCCCTTGCACTCGCTCACAATCGCACACACTAGCTCCCAAGGATATATACTTATACACAGTACTTATAGACTACATATACACATAAGAAACACCCATTTGAGTTAGCAGTGCTTACATACCCTTATATTTATAATAATACGCCCAAAATAAGTTGTATTTCAAAGAGTATTTTCCATGTTTTAATATTGTTTCAGGCAATAAAGAACAGGTGATGAACCATATTTCTGAAAGCAATCTTCATATGAAACTCATTGAAGCAACATTAACTGTCAGCCTGGCAACCCCTCGTGCTGTTAAAGCCCAACTAGGTGAATATATTTTTGAATAATTGCTCTATAATGACACATTATTTGTAAAGATGAGCATATTCATTTCATTCCTAAGAATACATTAGTAATAAATATCAAAATCTAAGTGAATGGAATTGAACACCTATTTATTGTTGATCTAATGCAGTTGAGTGGTAATGTTGAAATAAAATGTAAAAATTATTATTAAAATTTTTTATTTTAAAAAGACCCTCTGTGGACACAATTTTTTTCTCTTTCTAATTTTATCAGTCATTAAATTAGTTCATGACCATTTATGTATTTGATATTCATTAAGCACTTTTTCTCTTTGGTATCTTTGTTACAATTACACTATAGAAAGGAAAAAATTCTATTACAAACATTTTCAACAGATATTTTAGCATGAAAATGTGAAGGTCAGTAATGGTGAAAAGTCCAAGGGTTTTCTTATTTTGTTTTCAGAATATACTTTTTATGAACAATTGCACATTTATTGAAAACTTGTTTGGAAGATGAATTCAATTAACCTTTTTACCAATAATTAGTGACAGAAGTCCTTTAAAAATGTCTTACATATGAGTCAAGTTGATAAAAGTTGTTATTCAGTTATTTGTAGTAATTTCATATCATTGAATTCAGAAAATTTAAGCCATGGAATGTAATTGTATTATTTGCTTTTGTTATTTATTATCAATTATTATTTATTATATTTATTTGTTATCATTATAATTTTATATTTATTTATTATCAATTTGCTTTTAGTATACTGATAATATGTAGCAAAGAATGCAAAAACTTCTTACAAGTGTATGAGAAGACAGATATCAAGACGCAATACCTAATTGGCAAATACAGAGACGGATTTAAGACGTCAATGTAATCTATGAGAGACACAAATATTCTTGCAATTTTTTTTAAAATTGATAATCGTGCTCTTCAGTATTAATGATGCATTGATATATCAAGTCTTACACTTCTAAAGGTTTTAAGATCTTGAGTAGAAAGATTCATGATGATGATGATGATGATGATGATGATGATGATGATGATGATGATGATGATGATGATGATGATTGGCGAGATATATCTACTACATCTGTGTAGTAGTCGTAACAAAAAGCAATGCATTTACATTTTATGATTTGTATGCATTTCTAAAAATGTAGTTTTATTCTGTACTCTCTTTTCTCGGCTCTGAAGAATGCTTCCAAACAAACAGAGTTGTTAAAAGTTTTTGGAAATTTGAAGTAAATTTTCAAGAATAAAACGTTTTTAAAATTAAATATACTTTTATTATTTTTATTTCATGAATTCAAAAGTGGTTTAAAAAAAGTATTCAATAAAATTTGTGAAGCTTCAGAAACCTTTAGAAGATACAGTGAAGTATTTATTTGGAAAATTATATAATGATAATAATAATAATAGTAATAATAATAATAATAATAATAATAATAGTAATAGTAATAATAGTAATAATAGTAATAATAGTAATAATAATAATTATAATAATAACAACAATAATAATAATTAATAATAATTTATTTTCCCAAAGAATTACATTGACATGTACAAAAACCATCACCATAAAAACTATAAGAAAGAATACCAATTTTGCCCAACCACATTACGTACCTTACATCCTGTTTAACCTTTTAGCAAAATACCAGCCTTACCAATTTAAATTTATTTTATCTTGTCTAGTACACTCCAAACCCTCTTTAATGATGATGATACTGATTATGATAATAGTCATAATAATAATAATAACAATAATAATAATAATAATTAATAATCATAATTGAAATACAATACTTCCTGATATACAGCGTGCTAAGACTGACACTGTACTGGTTAAGGAACCAAACGCAATCACATAACGAATGAGCCAACCTCTATATCCCATGAAAATCATCCTTAAAATAGTAATTTAAAAGTAATTATATCTGTAACTATTGTTTTTGTTTGTTTTTTTTAGTTAAAATTAGTTCACAATTTGAGGGGGTAATGTTTTCTGAAAAATGTATATATTTCAAACACAATTTCTTCTTTCATCTGTATTTCAGTATATTACTTTTATCTTGATTTTTATTTTATATAAAAGAACCTATGTCGTAAATGCAGAATTGGAAAAATACAAAATTTGTTTTGGTGCACTCTATAATCACTCAACATTCTGGATGTTTGCTCTGTGTATTATTATAAATTGCAGATATGAGTCATGTTTTCAAATATTAACATGCTCTAGAAGCTAAAGTACTGCTTGTTGAGTTATTATTGTGTGTAAATCTGAATGAAAAGGTACTATTGGAGGGACAATATCTTGAACAGAATTCAGTTCCCCTCATCTTGTTCATTTTCTTAGCAGAAATATAAATGTTATTTCATTTTACAAAAAGGAAGCAAAGTTAATTAGAAGCTTAACTTACCTTATGTTCTTTATGATTGCTGAGACAACCGAGATCACATGATAAATTTACCCTGAGGTAATTTTCCATATTGAAGAACCAGTACCAACGAATACATTACAACACAGAGTACCTTCTTACCTCATACGAACAACTATTTCATGAATTGTTAAATACAGTATCCAATCTCTGTGTTAATGAATCATCAAGACAATCTTAATCTATATTGAGTGTACATGAAAGCAGTATAGCAGGAAAAGATGTTATCTCCTTCAGTTAGCCATTAAGTCATACCTATGATCATTGCTAGTGTAACTGTTTGCATTGATTTGTAAATATTTGATGCTTACTGCATCTGGAAAATTTTACACCCTTCCTTTTGTTACACTTTTCCATTTTATAGAGATCTTTGACGTCAATGTCTGATCATCTGAGATTGTGGTCCATGTTTACCAGGAATTTGTGCCTCAGTACACTTAGGACAGGTGGTTTCAGGAGATAAGCTGGGCTTTACATAATAGGATTATCTGAGGGGGCTTGTGTTGACGTCCGTGTAGTACCGTGTGTTGTATTGATTCTTTCTCTTGGTGATGTTACATTAAGTTTCATTGCATTTTTGTTTGTCTTGTTAAGTTCAATTAATATGCTGTTTTTGAACATCGCAGATCTTTTGAGGAATAACAGTAAATGAAGATTATGAAGTAAAGAAACTTGAAATTTCTGTGTGTGCGTTGCATCTGATTATAATACTTAATATTGATGTGGACTTACATTTGCACATTAGCCAATTCAAGTTTTGAATATATTAATATCTACAGATGTTTACCAAGTGAAAATGTAAAAACATATTTCTTTATAAGAGACTACCATAGTTTCTGCCACAATGTAATAAGCAAACGATCTCCATCTGGTTTTAAATATTTGCTAAAGAGTGGCGTGTTTGTGTGTTGATAGTGCTTCTTCTTGTCTTCTGTGTATTTATTGATATCATTGTAATCTGTTGCCGCTGTCTTAAAGTGAAAGCACATTCTTCTGTCAGCAGTGCATGTATCCAGAGGTGAATTATTATGTGTGTCTGTGGTCTTGGACTAAGTCCTAGCACTTTGTTGACAGAGGTACTACCTGATACCTCCAGTGCACCATGTGATATTGTGATTGCCAATCTACGAAGCATTTTGCTGAGAAGTGATCTGACGTGTAATGTGAACGTTCGGCAGTTATGTGAAGTGCTCTTACGCTGTGCTGTTGCCGAGTGCTGTCAAGAACAAGTTATGCCTCCAAACCGCAAACCTAAAGTAAGTTACAGAATTGTCATTCATTAGAGCATTCATAGCAAAGGTTGATGGTATTTTGTAACAATTTGTGTCCATTTTATCACGTAGCATGATTGTGGGATTATTTGCTAGCTCAATTCATTGAATTCTAACCACTTTTTTTTAATGCCCAGTAGGTTTAATTAAATTTTTAAAAAATCTATGGGAAATGGAGAGAGGGGAAGAAGAAAATTATATCTGTAAGAACAAAAAAAATAATAATAATTTTTTTAAATGTTTAAAATTTCATTAGTACATCATTTTCATGTTAACGGAATTTACCCTTGTTATTGGATTCACCTAGACATCATATTATCAAATCCTTAAAAAGTATTTCTTTTTTCTAAAAATATTTGTTTAAAATATGTAGATGAGCCTTATGTAGGTTCAAGAATTCAACAAGTTAAAAATTTGCATGAGATATCTGTACACTTCACCACTATGACATTGTTACCAATAGTCAAGTACACATATCTTGTGTGAACTCTACTACTTTTGTTTTTACTTTCTCTCTACCACATATATAGTAGAGAGAAAGTTATGTGATGCTGTGCGATAAAACAGAGAATTTTTGGCAGAAAAAACTCTTATTGCTGGGCCCTAGTAACGAAAAAGTTGATAAATCCAGTTGCTAAATTTAGATGGAAAAACAATTTTTTAGCATGTGGTGTAGCCAGCCAGCATCCATGTTTGGTGGGTCCCGTGGATACCAAAAAATTGTAATGCAGCAAAAAGTCTGTCCATCCGTTCTGTATACAACACTAGTTTATAAACCGTTTAGTCGATTTTCTCCAAAATTGATATTCCCTAATCACTCTGTAGTTGCAGCCCCTTGAATTCAAAACATTTATTTTAATTTTGGGTGGTATTTTACATGGAGTCCATGGGACATGTTCCAAATGTTAAAAAAAAAATGGCTCCAACGTTTTTGATTAAATTTTGTTGGATAGTGTGAAGGACTTTTACGAGAATGGTCCACGTCTCATGTTCATTGGAAACCCAGATTTTTTTTAAATTGCAAATGTTCCGAGTCTTCCTACAGCTAAAATCTTTAAGATAGATATTTTTTCCATTAATGAAATCTGTTACTTAAAGATAGATTTGGAAATAAGGTCATAAGTCATCAGTACAAATTTTCGCAAATTTGTGTACTTTCTGCGTAATTTTGCATGAAAGTACGGGCAAGAAAATTACATGCTGCTTTAGCACCACTAGTTCATTTAAAAATTGGAAAATGGTGTGTACTAGTTATAGTTAAACTGGAGACAGGTTGATCTTGGTGAGTTGGTATAGTCATGAATGTGTTTTAAATTCCCATGATAGATGTTGGCTGAAAATTTAATATAACTAACATATTTATAGTTTATATTAGTAAATTTTGTGTTAATGGAATTATAAAAAAATCTTGATCTTAATTCTTCAAATATGGCATAGACCAATTCATGTTCACCTATTATTAAGAAGTATTTTGTGGGTTGTCTTTCAATACTGAATATCATGACTCACGTTCAAATGTTTATACTAGAAAATTTGACTTCTCTATCATATAGATAATAGTTACTTAAAACTTACTAACAGAGTATTGTTTTCTCAATGAGTAAGTATTGTAGGTACGTTTCCGTTATTCTTAATATTTTTTTATCATGATATTGGAGAGGTTACAAATCATAGAATTAGTAGCATTTAAAATGAAGGAGGCATTTCTCTCTGTCATACTGATTGAACATTAATATAAAACATACATGACATTAATAAGTTGACTGAAGACCATGAAATGTTTTATGAGCATATGTGCAGTGGAAAGATCTTTTTATTGGCATTTTTTACTCTTGTTCTTAGTAAGTTATTTCAAGTACATGGTTACTGTATCAGAAAAATGCATCTTTGGACCTTTTACTCCTTAACATATTATTTTCTGCTCTGATATAATTTGCTATTTTGAACTGAGCAGATACTCATATATATTTTAAAACTCCTTGGCATGTTATGTTCTTACATATGTTGTCATATTCAAATGGAAATAGTGTTTTCCTTGAGGGTTGTGACAAAATAACAATTATTTCAATTATATAACAAACATAATTATGGTATTCATGATTTGAAAACATATGCAGGATTAGTCAATTCGGGTTTACAAAACACTCGTGTGATCATGTTGTTGACAACTAGCTGTTCTAGGGCTTCATCGAGAAAAAATAACTGCAGAAAACAAGATTCTTTAAGTGAATACAGAACGCAGTGGTAGGCAATGTCAACCACTTCTTTTTCTCCTCCACTTTCTTGTTCGTTTCCTCCTCCCCTTCTTCGTCTCCTTCCTTTCCTTCTCCTTCTTCCAATACTCCTCCTTCTTCCAATACTCCTCCTTCTTCCAATACTCCTCCTTCTTCCTATACTCCTACTTCTTTGTCTACTCTTCCTTCTTCGTATACTCTTCCTTCTTCATATACTCCTCCTTCTTCGTATACTCCTCCTTCGTATACTCCTCCTTCTTCGTATACTCATCCTTCTTCGTATACTCCTCCTTCTTCGTATACTCATCCTTCTTCGTATACTCATCCTTCGTATACTCCTCCTCCGTATCTTCCTCCCCCTCCTTCGTATCCTCCCCCGTATCCTCCTCCATCGTTCCCTCCAGCTCCTCCTCCGTCGTTTCCTCCTCCTCCTCCTCCTCCTCCTCCGTCGTTTCCTCCTCCT